GCGGCCTCAGTCGGCGCGGGCATATCTGGGAGCTCTCTCGGCGCTTCTGGCGGGACCTCCGGCGGCGGCGCGTTGTCGGCCTGCTCCGGCGGCTTTTCTTCCGGAGGCAGCGGCATTACTGCAGGCTCGTCGTAGTAGTAAATCTTGAGTCCAACCTCGCCGCGGATCCAGCTGATGAGGCTGCGCTTCTCGAGCGGGAAGTAGACGATGCCCTCCTCGCCGCGGCGCGAGAACTGGGAGCCGTAGATGCGGACGCGGCCGAGGAAGTGGTTCTTGCCGCTCCCCCCGCCGCCGCCGGAGGGGTTGAAGCGGCGGTCGTGGTAGAGCGAGATGTCGAGGGCCTCGGCGTGCATGTTCGCCGGGTCATGCACGACGAACTCGAGGCGCTCGTGCCACTGCGGGTTGAGGTCCTGCGGCACGGTGCGCGTGCGCTTCCGCTGGCCGTCGAAGTCCACGACCGCGAAGGCGCTGGACGTGCCGAGGCCGTCCTTGGGCACGAGGTCGCGCGCGTCCACCACCTCGACGGCCAGCCTCCGCACCATCGGCGGCGGCCCCTGGGGCGGAGGGCCGCCACCGCCACCGCCGGCCGCCATGGGCGTAACCGCGGAAGCAAGCAGGGGAGGGTGGTGATTGAGCTAGGCGACGGTGTGAAAAAGAAAGCGAGAAGGCGACGGCGAAGGGAATACGGTTCCTTATGATCGGTCGGCGTGGGGTGGTGGAGAGATCAAGTGGTAGCTCCTTTTGCTTTTTGGGGAGAGCTAGCGTGCTTTGGCGAGGGAGGGAGAATGTTTGCTAGAGTGAGAGAGGCGCAGCGCAGAGGAAGAGAGGAGAAGAAGTTGGTGTCTTTCTTGACGTGGAAGCTCTCAGCTTTGTGCGGGCAGAATCTGATCTGTTTCTTGGAGCTTTTGAATGTGCACTCATGCGGTGGGAAGTGCCGGTGGTGGCGCCGCCGCTGCGCTCGTTGGCGACTTCTTCCTCCTGCCCTTTTCTCGCGTTCCCAAACACAGGCCAACAGTTAACAGAGTCTTCCGTTTCCGTATTTGTGCTCTGTTCTGTGCACGGCTGCACCCAGCACCAGCAGTACTGGTTATACGCTCTGCTTACCTATATATATCACTTGGCTGATTTTTTTTTTTCCACCATTAAATCTAGACCTAACCTCTTTCAATAGACACATCTCCTAGTTGTCATAAAACAAACACAAGCCAAAGAGATCCGTTCACCAAAAAAAAAGGTTATCATAAAATGTAAATTTGATTTTATATCTCTTTGAGCTACAAGTGGCGTCACAGTGCTTTTCTACTTCACTTCTTTTTCTCTCCTGCTCGCCACCTAAAATAGATATCAATGTTTTCGTCTTGGTCTTACGTATGTCCTCAATATCTACGATGGGTATTGTCGTTGCACGTCGTCTTCTCATTCACCTTTCATGGTCTCTACCAACCAACCATAGAGATGCCAGGTGGCGTTAGACCTACCATAGCGTCCACCTCCTGAGTGTCAATCTAAGTTTAGTGGAGACTAACAAATATGTCCGTACGTTACAATGGGAGACAAAAAAAAACTATCAAACATTCAACTTGTTTGCTTTAGCTTGCTGCATAGTTGCAACGGCCGTAGGTGCTACTTTTGATGTTGTGAGTGGTTCCTGCACCAATCACAACGAACAGACTTGTGAATGAAAACAAGGACGAGCAATGTTATGTATCTATTTAATTTTTATCATTTCTATAAAATTTAGAAGTTTACTTTATTTTATGATGACTATGACATTCATAATATAAGTAAATATTAGCAATAATATGACAATGTCTTATTTATTATCTATTGAATTAAAATACAACCTTGATATATTTTTTCTTTTGTTGTAAGGCATAAAACATATTTACTCGTATTATATATCATAACTTTAGTTTTCATACTATTGAGGTGTTGATGTAGTTAGATATTAAGTTCCATGACTTCTTTTGAAGATCCACCAAAATATATGATTTTTATATTTTATTATAGTCGGCAAGGGGTCAGTCGTCATCATGTTAAAAATTGGTCTCTCTATTGATGAGTACGAATTATGCCCCAGGCCATGCTGGATTTTCACATGTCAGATCATGTCTAGAGTTGTACTGGTATATACGAACAACTTGGAGATTTACACTGAAAAATATGGACAATTTGGAGAAACATTTAATTTGATTAGATTGGACGACAAACAGCTCAAGATTTTAGTTTATAGTTTGATTAGTTAGGCCATCAACTGATTTATGTTATTATAGTATTTTATTTATAATCAAAATTACATTAATCACTTAGTAATAAAAATATTTATTTATTACGTATTGGCTAAAGTTTCGAAAGCCCGTAATACTATGCTCATTAATTTTTATAGAAAAGAAAGAATTAAAAAATCATGGAAGAGGCACGGGATGTGGACGGGGCAACACTTTCCTTTGCAGGGGACCCGCACGGACTATAAAACACCTTCGAACGATAGGAAAGAAAAAGAAGAAACGGAGACGAAAACTAAATAAGAACACGCACAAAATACTGTTTACCGGCTGGTCGAAAATTTGATTTGATGGCAGATAGGAAGGAGAAGATGGTCGACGGACAAACCTGATCTCTTTCGATTTGGAAAGGCGAGAGACGTATAGACGTTAAAACAAAAACAAAGGCAGTATCTGATACTCGGACGAAATCGGACGGACGTTAAAAAAAACAAAAATAAATCAGAGCTAAGAAGGAAAAGATGGTCGACGTAGGAATTAGGAAAATATCCGCATATGTGAGTGCTAGAGACCGATTTGGACAGGGTTAAATTAACACCGGTGACCAGAGCCCTAGAGAAAAACGTGAGAGGACGTTGGGATACACGCACGGAAGGGACCAAAAATAATGGTTAATTTCTACTTTTATCTTTTTCTATCAAGATGGATTAGGATTCGTATTCAACTAACTATGGAGCGAAGGGATCTATGTATTCAGATTAGGATTCCTAGCAATGTAGGTTACCTCAAGAACTTATGCCCATATGTCATAAATAAAACATGAGACGTGTAGACAGTTTCATATTCACGGAGTTAGTCAGAGGAGGCCATACAAAAAAAAAAAGAAAGAAATTTTGTCTCTTTATTATTAGATATAGATATAGAAAAGGTGAACCCAAGCCTCGTTTGTTAGATGGCCGTTGTGGCAGGAAAGAGCAATCCAGGACTAAAAATCCAACGCAATGGAGAGCGCCAATATATGTGGTTTAGAGAATTTGATTCCTAACTACTAGTAAAATATATGAGCTGCACCTGATCACTATGTAAAATGACTTGTTTATGAATGCTTTATGTGTACATCAAAGATAGCTTCTAATAACAAATCGTAAACAAAACAGCAACCCACAAAGATGTTTCCAAATTGCAAGTCTCATGTGCATAATAAAATATATGAATCTAAAAAGGCTCAAATGACTCAGGTGCATAGTAAAAGCTATGATTCTAGAAAGCTCAAATGACTTACAATTCGGAATGGAGGGACATGATATATCTTTGATTAAAAAATATGTTCTTTTTACCCTATGTTCTCTAAGAGGGATAATTGTTAGAATGTTAGATGATGAAATTGATAGAATAGTTCTTTTTTATGGAAAAAATGTAGGTGGTTAGAAATCCTGGTTGATATGGAAATGGAACCCAAAAACATAGGTTTTATACACCATGAACCCAATACAACAAACAAACTATCACTTCGATCCATCGAAACGATTGTTTTATATTAGGGTGTCCCACGCCTCGATTTTGGAGCGAGGCTAGTGATGAAAGAATCGCTAGCGAGCGTCTCTCTCATACCTCTCTCAGCTCCACGTCAACGCGATCCTACTTAAGCCAACGATGTGGCGGCGTTCAGGCAAGCCATGGAGACGCTGGGCATCTAGCAGGCTCGGAAGCCGTTTATAGTTCTGTACAGCTCCTTTTTATTTCCTTTTCATTCTTTTGTCTTGGTTGTTCTTCCAAACGCTGAGACAAGTATGTAAATGTTTCTTTCCAACTCTATAATGAAAAGGCAGTGCTGTTCCCCGCTCAAAAAAAAAAAAAACGATCCTACGTAAGCCAACAATGTCGCCGCCTGTTGCGGACGCCCTTATTATAGCTGAATTTCGGTGCCATTCTCCAAGCAAAGTAATGTCAATTTTGTTCATACTTGCCCGGAATTTTGTGCAGGGTGCTACGATCCCCCGAGATGACAAAAGTATACACAAGACGTCATAAACGGTCCCCTCCCTAAAGAAATACACTGATTGATAAGGGAAGTGCAAATGTAGTTCATATGTGCACAACGGGTATATATGGTTGTTGTGCATAGGACCATAGAGGTCCAGGCATATCTTGATACATGCATGATGCTTATAGATTATCCGGCTGTATGATGGCAACGGCTGCTGGTGAAAGGGAGGGCGGAATCGATTCTGCCGTGTCATCCCCCCTCGCGCGTAGAATTTGCTGTGGTGTTAATATGAGTTCTCGTTTCTTTCATCCTTCATGTGCTTCATATATACGCGTTTCATAGGAAAATGGTGCTGGGAATGGACCATCCCCATCTATCTATCTATCAGTCTCCTGATGCTGACGTGTGCAAATCTGGCCTGACCTTTGTCGTTGGGCCTGTGGAAGCCCAAAAGTTTATCCGGCCCGGTCAAGAGAACAGTCCAGGACGACTTTTTATGCTGGATCACCTATTTGCATTCAAACACTATCACGGCATGTTTCAAAAGAAAAATGAAGTCAGAGATGTCTCTCCGATAAAAGTGAAGTCAGATGTGAGGGAAGATATATAAGCAAATATACTAGTAGGTGGTGAAATGAAGTCTAATGAACGCGCACTCATTTGTCATTTCTGTACTTTTCTGAATGAACAACCCATTTCGTAAGACCTCCCTCCTTTTCCGAGCGAGGAATCCAACTATAATAAATCACACATCTCTGTACACACAGATTTAGACACGAAATATATATTTAGCTATTCGTGGCCGACAAGAGCCTGTGCGCGAGGAACGCGCCGAGCGCGAACCCGGCGACGGCCGCGGCGACCATCTGCCCCTTGCCGCCGAGGGCCTCTGCCCACGTCGTCGCCTCCGCCCGCGCCGCGCACTCCTCCTTGGCCTCGATCAGCCTCGCCATCACCATGTCGGTCCCGGAGACCGGCTGCTTGGGCACGGTGAGGGACAGCACGGTGCCGTCGAAGCGGCCGGCGACCCCCTCGAGGTTGGCCGTCTGCGGCAGCTGGAACGCCTTGTGGAACCGCACGTACCCGGCGGGACGCTCGCCGCGGACCGTCAGCCGGCCGCCGGAGTCCACCTGAACCTTGAAGTCCTCCTTCTTGAACCCTTCATCATCTCATCTCATGAGGCCTGATGGCATGCAGGCGATCGATCGAACGTGGAGTAATTACCTGGGAGATTGAGGCGAATGATGTAGCTGTTGGCGCCGTCGTGCCACTCGAGCTTGGGGTCGATGTCGGCAACGCCACCGCAGGCCTCTGGCGCCGCGGCCGCGCCGCCCTTGGCTGGTCCCTTCGGCTTGCAGCTGGCCATGAATTGCGCTTGATCTGATCTGGAAGCCGGGCGCTCTGGTGATCGATCAGTCGATGGATCGGATGGTGGTGATCGAGCTGCTGCCGCTAGCTAGAGCTGATTAGTCGTATTACCGCACAGGAGTCCAAGGCCCAACGATCGTTAGGTTAGCTTATATACGTAGCGGCACCACTGTAGGTGCCTGTTTTGTTTTGTGTGTTTTGTTGGTTATTCCAAACTTTTCTTCAAAGTACACGTTGCAGCAGAAAATCGAGTTTGTCGTCGACGTCTGGGTAAAGGCTAGGGATCTCTAGCGGCCGGTGCCTTGCTTTCGGCACCCATGCGGTATGCAAACCCTCGTCTGAAGAAAACACAAGTGTATCTCTCGTTACCAAGGGAAAGAAAAAGAAAGAAAAAATTCAGGGTTTTTTTCCCCACCTGGCCGGGTACGATATAGCGGAATTGTTAGCCTTATATAAACATCTTTTATAACTGGTTTACTACTCTATTCGTTCCAACTTATAAGTAGTTCTAGTTTAAGTGCCAACTTCTATAATTTGAATCAAGTTTATAAAAAATACACAAACATCTAAAACATCATAGAAGATTCATCATATATACAATAAAACATATTTTGATAGTGTATTTTTATTTAGGGTAAAGTACATTTATTAACCTCCAAGTTGTGCCCCAGTCCGATTTTCAAACTTTAACTACAGAACAGGGTAACATATACCGTCCAATTATCAAAATCAAATAAATTTGGTCAACTCACTAGTTTTAGAGGTAGTTTTCTATATTCTAAAAATTATAAAAATCTGATTTGATCTCTAAGTCATAACTAATTTGGCCCTGTTCACTTCTCTTATAATCCGTCTTTTTCAACTTATTTTTTCAGCCAGAACAGTATTTTTCTCTCACAATAAATCAACCAGAACAGTGTTTCGGCTTGTTTTTTCAGCGAAGCGAACGGGGCTTTTATTTTAAACCAAAAAAATCTGAAACTAGTAACATTTTTTCTAAAAATATTATTTGCCTATTTGGAACTGGTTTATTTATTTTCCTATTGGTTTATTGCTTGAAGTCGTGCTCATTATTTATTTATACAAATAAGATTTTTTTGCGAGCGTGTCATTGTGACACGTGTTTCATTAAGTAGAAGTAGAATGTTAAGGTTACACCAATCTGAAGCAATCCTTGGATTGCCGAGGAAGGATGGAACAATGACGGTAGACGCGGGAACCAACGGTGATCCAGGGATTACCGTTAAACCCACACAACAGCAAGACCAACAAGAAAAAGCAGGGGAAAAGGACCCTCCGCCTCAAGCCTAACCGATCGGACCTGATGACAGAATACAACATATATAAACGCTGGGTTGCTAACATATGTGAAAGCTCTAGTTTGGTTTTGATGAATTGATGAAACCCTAAGTGCTAACCTATTACTCTAGTGATCATGAGATAGGTAGCACATTCCAAGTGATGGAGCAATTGATGATGATCATGCTGAGGATGATGGTGGAGGCCATGAAGATGATCAAGTGCTCAGCTTGGAAAAAGAAGAAAGAGAAAAATAAAATGGGCTCAAGGCAAAGGTGAAATCCATAGGGTCATTTTGTTTTAGTGATCAAGACACCTAGTGGGTGTGATCACATTTAGGATAGATAGCCGTACTATTAAGAGGGGTGAAACTCGTATTGAAATACGGTTATCAAAGTGCCACTAGATGTTCTAATTCATTGCATATGCATTTAGATTCTAGTGGAGTGCTAACACCCTTGAAAATGTTTGTGAAAATATACTAACACACGTGCACAGGATGATACACTTGGTGGTTAGCATATTTGATCAAGGGTGGAGAAGTTGGTGAAGTGGAGGAGGTGTTTTCCTCTAACCAGACATAGGTCACGCAGTGACCGGACTCGGGGTTCGACGCGTCTGGTCATAGGTGTAGTGAAGAGCGTGGCATCAGTCTCTGACCGGACGCTGGCTGAAGAAGTGACCTGACGCGATGGAGGTGTGTCCGGTCGTGTATGACATACGCTGATGCAAGTCATTTCGCAAAGAAGTGAGGAGCGGACACTGGTGTGCGTCCGGTCAGTGACAAACGGACGCGTCCGATCGCGTTTCGAGCGCTCTGGGAGCTCTCTGGAAACGATCTGATGCGGCTCGGCTCGACGTATGGAGAAGTGATCGGTGCGTCCGGTCGTTAACTGTTGGCACACGGGATTTTGTTGATCTAATGCGGGGCTGGCGCGTCCGATCTCTGGATCGGTGTGTCCGGTCCTTCTTTAACTTTAGCGTGGTAAGTTTTTGACCGTTTAGATTGGGCGGCACAAGTTTGAAGAGGGGGACACGTGGCACTCATCCGATGACTGGACGCTGGGGCTATGCGCCCGGTCAGGCGGACCTGCGCGTTCGGTCGCCCTGAGTTGGGTTGTAGTGAGGAGCCCAACGGCTCTATTTCGTGGGGGCTCCTATTTAAGCCCCTTGGCCAGCTCAAGCTCACTCTCTTGGCCATTTGCATTGACATAGCAACCTTATGAGCTTAGTCAAAGCCCTTCCACTCATCTTCATCATTGATTCATCATCTTTGTGAGATTGGGAGTGAGTCCAAGTGCATTGCTTGAGTGATTGCATCTAGAGGCACTTGGTGATTGTGTTTCGCTGCGGGATTCACTTGTTTCTCTTGGTGGTTGCCGCCACCTAGACGGCTTAGTCCAGCGAGGATCATCAAGCGGAGGAAGGTGATTGTCTCCGGCTCCGATCGTGGTGATTGTGAGGGGTTCTTGATCTTTCCCCGACGGAGAGCCAAAAGGTACTCTAGTGGATTGCTCGTGGCTTGTGTGATCCTCATCTTGTGTTGGTTGTGCACCACCCGATTGCGGGTTTAGCGTGTGATGCCAATTAGCGCGTGAACCTCCAAGTGAATGTATCGCCACAACGGGGACTAGCTTACCGGCAAGCAAGTGAACCTCGGTGAAAATCTTGTGTCATCTTGTCCCGAGGATTTCATTGGCTATTTTGTGATTGATTGATTGATTGATCATCGCTTGCCTCGTTGGTATAATCTCACTACCTCACCCTTGTATTTACATTTTTAGTGTAGCTAAGCTCTTTAGTGTAATTAGTTTTGAGAGCTAGCTTGTGTCGGGTCTAGTGGTTAGTGAGGCTCCTTAGTTAGTCTTTGAGAGCTCACTAACTTAGTGGTAGTGACATAGCCTCTTGTGTGGATTAGAGATCATAGTGGATAGGATGCTTGCATTTTGAGTAGGCTAGCGCAACACTCGCTTCGCTTCATAATTGTCTAACCACCTTGTTAAGTGTTGTTGTAAAAAAATTTATAGGCTATTCACCCCTTCTAGCCATTAGAACCTTTCAACATGTGATGAAGGCGCGCGGTGGCAAAGTATCCACCAAGAGGAGACGACCAACATCCAATAGCATGGACAAATAAGATTCAAATAGTTTTAATAGAGCACCAATAGAGAGAACATTTTTAGAAGGAAACTAGAAGATCACATTTTTCGATTTAAAATAAATTAACTATAACCTTTTAGGCCCCTTTTGGAACATATGAAAGCAAAATCATAGAAAAAATATAGGAATATCATAGGATTGTAGTTACAAAACAGAAGATTGAAAAACATAGGAATTTTAAAGGAGTGATCATTTAGACAAGCCATAGGAAAACGTAGGATTTCTACCAAGAGGTTTGAGAGTGGATGTTAAATTTCCTGTAGTTTTCCTCCGAAACATTAGTCAAAGGAAAATTTGCTGCACTATTCCTATGCTCCATTCCTATGAACCAAAGGTATGACCAAGAGGAATCCTATAGGATTCTCAATCCTACATTTTTCCTCTATTTTTCCTATGAACCAAATGAGTAAAGGTAAAACTAGATTTTTAGTATTTTTAGAAAATAGAAAAGCACCAAATTTATCTGGTTACAAAAATTAGAGGGTGTCCGTTGCCTGGTTCTAGTTTGGGGTTGCAAATCGGACTACAGGTGCAACTTGGATGTTGAAAAATGTGCTTTAATTTAGCCTTTTATTTAAGTTGGAATGATATAAATTGAGTTGGAACATTTCGAGCCCAAGGCTGAAATTGTTATGTGGTTGCTAGGATTAAGAGGGAGAGGTGGCGATGGCCGGGCTACAGTACCCACAACGCTACAATAGCGTGGGTACTGTTCATGCGAGGGAGGCTTGAGGCTGGCTAGGGGCCTTGCCCACGGCCGAGCAAGAGGGAAGATATTTTCTTCTTAATTCTTGCTTGATTAGATCGATACATCTCCTCTCCTTACATAGAGAGGTTTACTTGACTCCCAAACAAGGCTTACTTGACGCTTAAGTAAGCGACTCTTATCTCTAATTAACCCTAACACTAATGTGCTATACAGCCAACACAGGCCCAATAGGCCCCTGATGTACTCTAACACTACACCCCACCTGGACATGCAGCTCGTCCTCGAGCTGCAACCTAACGAACTTATAACGCTGACTCGACTCCTAACACCTAAAAACAAGCCTTTTACATCTTGGCTTATTTTATTATTCTCAACCTGAAATGGACTGGAACTCTTTATTTTTGACTCCTGAACATAAGGTGGACACCATCCGCACACCAAACCTGCATGTGTACAGCCTCCTGGATCCCATGGACACCATCTAAATGAAAGGGGTGCATGTGTATGGCTACCTGGAAGTGGTCGCAACAGCGACCAGTGGCGGAATGCGACGGCGCTACGCGGTGCGCTCTCGTTGGTGACCCCACGCCTTCTCCCCGCCAGACGGTTGCTGGTTTGCACCGCACAGAGAAGAGCGGAGGGTTGTCGATGGAGAATGAGGTGGAGGGATGCGCCTCCCCAACCGCCGCGGTCGCAAACTTTGAGTTTGCCGCCCGCAGGGAAATAACATGCCCGCCGACTGTGGGGGAAACCGCACGCCCGAGATCCCCGACGCAGCGGACGAGATCGAGGTCCTCCGCGCAGCGAAGCGCATCTTGGAGGAGCTGCGAAGGAGTGCAGGGCTGAATCAGCTGCAGATCGCGCATCTCCCGCACCCGCCGATGTGCTAGGAGGCCGCGCGTAGCAGCCTGCAGCCGCACCGCAGCCGACACCTGGCGGGTAAGCATCTTCCCCGCCGACGTCATCGCGATGTCCATCGGCTGCTCGATCCGCTGCAACTTCCGGCTCGTGACTGGGATCTGCTGGGCACCGGTTATGGAGACGACTGTCGTCCCATAGCCTGGCCAGCCGTAGTGCGAGGTGAGGTAGGACTGGATGCCCGCCACGGCCTGCCCTAATTCCAGGATTGCGGCCGTCATCTGCTCCGGGGTGAGGACGAGGGCGAACGGCGCCGGGGCAGAGGGCGCAATCGCCCCTGAGGACACCAGCGCGCCCAATGCCGGCGCGCCTGCTGTGTGGGGCAGCAGCGCCGATGAAGACGCTGGTGGCGGCGGGTGGGTGTGCGGCAGCGGCGGGTGGAAAGAACTCGGTAGAGGGCTGGACATGATCGAACCAGAGATCTCTGATACCAGATTGTTATGTGGCTGCTAGGATTGAGAGGGAGAGAGTTGAGGGAGAGGTGGCGACGGTCGGGCTATAGTGCCCGTGATGCTACAGTGAAGCAGATACTGTTCACAACCCTAATTGTGACGGCTAGGGCTGCGAGGGAGGCTGGAGGCTGGCCAGGGGCCTTGCCCACGGCCGAGCAAGAGGAAAGAGATTTCCTTCTTAATTCTTGCTTCATTAGATCGATACATCTCGTCTCCTTATATAGAGAGGTTTACTTGACTCTCAAGCAAGGCTTACTTGACCCTTAAGTAAGCGACCCTTATCTCTAATTAACCCTAACACTAATGGGCTATACAGCCAACCCAGGCCTAATAGGCCCTGACGTACTCTAACAGAAATATTTTCTTATTTATCTAGTCTGTACATTTTGATTTCCTTTGTTATTAGGATCACCCCCTCCAAGAAACCACATGCAATCTTTTATCTTCAAAGGTGTTTTGCCTAACTCGTGCTTCGTTACTGACAAGTACTTATATATTGACCTGACTTTGAAGGTACCATTTTATGCAAAATCCAAGTAAGAGTGTCTCTACCGTACCTCGTGTCTGTTCGTTATTCTGCTTAAGCGGTGCATAACAACAGCCCCTGTATATCAGTATATGTAGTGTACAGTTCATCTTTGTCACGATAACACGTACACATTTCATCCACTGATAGACAACCATGTGCGTGATCGATCGTGTGCACGCCCCCGAAGCTACAGTGGAAGGCTTGATGCCCTGCGAATGATTTGGCTGATGACGTGCCTGTTGTTGATTATTATTATTAGTTCCTGCTGGAGAAGAGCCTGTGAGAGAACAAGACACCGAGCGTGAATGCGGCGACGGCCGTGTCGATCAGCTCCTTCTCCCGCTCCGGCTCCGCCTTGGCCTTGGGCTCCGGCTCCGCCTCCTCCTTCGTGGCGACGGTGACTGCCGGCTGTTACTGCCCCTTGGCCTTGGGCACGGTGAGCGTGAGTACGCCGTCGACGAAGCAGCCGGTTATGGTGTCGGGGTTGGCCGTCTTGGGCAGCTGGAACGTCGTCTTGTTGAGCCGCAGCGCCTTGCCGCTGGGCGTGGGCTTGCGCCGGTCGGTGATGGTGAGCCGGCGCTTGCCGTCCACGCGAACCAACAAGTCCCCCAGCTTCAAGCCTTCGATTTGTTATTGTTTCAACCAAGAACATGCATGGTAAGTAGAATGAAGGAACCGTTTTCAGATTAGATTACAGGCGAGGCGCCTCACCTGCAGGGAGGTCGTTGAGTCTCAGGAGGTTAGTGTCGCTTTCCTCCAGCCACTTCCACTTATAGGAGGGGTCCACGCCGTGGGTCGCCGCCGCGCTCGCCATTGCCGGTGTCCCTGGGTCGTCTCGTTCCTTCACAGTTCACACACGTTGATGGCGTTTATGAGCTTCTTGGTGCCTTGGTGGCCGTGGGGAGGAGGGATTGATCTGATGAACCGAGGCATTCATTAGCTGCCTCAGATGTGCGAGGCACTCATTCCAAGCTTTTCTTGAGGGCAAGAAATCTGTCGATTTCTTTGAAACCACGGAGAGGAGGGGCTACAAATGTTTTGGGAGTGAAGGATCAGACAGACAGGCCGGGAAGGGATCTCATTCTCAGCTCCGAAAGCTCCTACGAAGTACGTATTAGGTTTAAATGGACTTCTCCTGTTAGCAAGGTTTTAAATAGGAGTGGCAGCCTCCTAGGAAATATATTTTTTAATTAATTATCCACAAAAAATATAACTAAAGATATTTCATGAATACAATTATTCAAATACATGTACAAGACTTTAGGCGAATATTTTTCTAGCCCACCACTTAATATTTATTAAATCAATCAAAATACTCACAGCTACGATCGACTTTATTCACGCAGCATTCAGAAATCAATAATTCAATGGTTATCCAATGCTCCATTACGTCATTTATTAAGTAAAGAAAATAACGGAGAAAATAGATTAGAATCATCTAGAGTAAGGAATAAGTTTTTGCCTTGATCAACATTAGTGATGCTAATTTTTCTTCACCTAAACCAAAAAACTATAGTATCATTACTCATTACTGACAATAGTAAATAATTGCAATATTGTAACCACAAAAAAGGCTATAGTGAAGTTAGAGTAGGCTATTTTTAGAACAAGCTTGCTATAAACTACTGTTTCCTAGCATGCATGTAATTCCTCCTCATTTTTTCCTAAAATGTAAAGTGCACTTGACGAAGTGTGCCCCCGATGGTAATTACCAAGACATTATTATTTTGACCATTAGTTAACAATATAATGTACTCCCTTTTTTCATCATACTTGTTGCTTTAGTTTCTTCCGCTATTATCAACATACTTCCTCCGTCTACAAATATGGTAGTAAAGGCTTCTAAGTTTGTTCTAAATCAAACATTCAAACTATCCAAAGTTTAATCAAATTTATAGGGAGGAGCCTTAACATCTGCCATATCAAGGAGCAAATTGGAAAAAACTTATTTCAGAATGCCTCTCTAAAGATTCTCATTTAATATGATAAATCATTGGCCTTTTTTATAACCTTAGTCAAACTTAGAACAGACTCAGGAGTCTTTATATTTGTAAACAAAATAAAAATCCACTATAACTTTGACCCATTTTATCCAATCTTGCCCCATATTAGGTAAGAACTTGAGATGCCGAGCGTACAACGCATAGGGGATAGTGACATTACACTTTTGAAATAACACAAAATGCACACATTAGAGAGGGATAAGGATAACCAAGGGTAGGATGGTCATTATATTTTCATTGCCGTCCTTAACTATTGTGTCGAAGGCTAAGATATAACAAGTATTGTGAAACATGGGGAGTAAATAAATACATATGTATATAACTATATATATACACCGATGTACAACAATTAGTCGTTATGCACACTGCATCTCTTATATGCATGCATATTAGTGATGGATCGTGCATGTACAAGCCTACGAATGAATATAATTGGCGATCCTGCCCTTGTTCTGATCATGTCTGATCCATGATTATGCACGGGTTGATTGATTAATTAATTCTTGGAGAAGAGCCTAGTGGAGACGAAGACGCCAAGTGTGAAGGCGGCGACGGCCGTGGCGATCACCTCCTTGTTCTTATTGACGGCCTCCGCCAACTTCATCCCCTCCTCCATGGCGCGGTCCTTCCAGTGCTCGCACTTCCTCTCCCGCTCCGCCTTGGCCTTGGCCTCCGCCACCCTCGCCCGCGCTGCCTCGACCCTGCTTGCGGCCTCGCGGGCGACCTTCTCCCTGTGGTCGGCCCTCGCCTTGCCATCCTGGTGATCTTGTTGTTCATGGTCTCCCCTCGCCTTTTCGCTCGGTGGCGGTGGTGGCGGCGCCGTGGCCTTAGCCTTCTTCACGTCTTCCTCTTTGCTTCTCGCCGTCAAGCTCGTCCTCTCCACCTCGGTCCTCTCTTGGCCAACCTTGGCAGCCTTGTCCTCCTGATCAGCCGCTGGCTTCTTATCGCCGGCGACTCGCGCCTCCGCCTTGGCCTGCGGTGGCGGCGGTGGCGGTGCGGTGGCGGCAGCACCGGCGGGCAGCTTGGGTACGGTGAGCGTGAGCACGTTGCTGTCGAAGCGGCCGGTGATGGTGTCAAGGTTGGCTGTATTGGGCAGCTGGAACGTCTTGTGGAGCCGCAGCGCCTTGCCGTCGCTGCCGGGCGTGGGCTTGCGGTGGCCGATGACGGTGAGGCGGCCCTCGCCGTCCACGTGCACCCGAAAGTCCTCCGTCTTGAACCCTTCCATTATTTGATTAAACCAACAAGAAGGAGAAGAACAAGGTAAGTAGAATGAGCAGCTAGCACCATGGGTTTTGAGCGTCAGCTCAGCTGTCGCCCAAGAGAAAGAGAAACACGTACAGTCACCTCACCTGGGAGGTCGAGGCGGAGGAGGTAGCTGGCGCCGTCGTCGAGCCACTCGTAGACGGGGTCCACGTTGTCGGCCGCCGCCGGGGCTTGCGTGCTCGCCATTGCCGGTGGTCTCGACAAGACTGAGACGGCGCCGCGCGTGCTGATGGTGTTTACGATGAGCCTGGTGCCTATGGTAGCTTCGTCCGTGGCCGTAAGGAGGATAGGTGCTTCGTATTAAGGGGCACATGCAGCGAGCCTTGATTAATTTAGCTGCTCACTCATTCTAAGCTTTTTCCTGAGGGCAAGAAAATTGTTGTCGATTTCTTTGTGATCACGGAGGAGGAGGCCACCGTACCAAAATGTTTTGGTTTTGGGGTGAAGGATCGGATAGGGATCTCAGCTCTGGCGAAGCCACCAATGTACATGCTCCGTTCCGTTGCCTCTGGGCGCGCGGCACGGCAACACCTCGGCTAGGCTACCTGCTTCACTACAACGTTTTCCGTTGGTCGCACCAACACGACACGGAAGCGCGGTGCCATGTGTGTTGCTCCGGGCTCTGCCGCATGCCCCAATTCGGTATGGCCAGATTGAAACCCTGGCTGAACAGTTGAACTCACGTCTTGTCCTCACGGATTAGGTGATGTCAAAACTGTCAATGTCAACTGAGAGTGACAGGAGGCACGCGAGCTGCTTTGGCTCTGTAAACAATCAGCCTGTTCGCTTATTTTAATCAGAGTTTATCAGTTAATCAACAGTGTTTTTCTCTCACAACAAATCAATATCAGTCGAGCTTATTAACCCAGAAACCAACAAGCAACAAAAGCAACAGACCGAATAGAAAAAAGAAAAATATATGTGCCGTTATGTCCTTAACAGCAACTTGCTCTGTAGAACCTTTTTATTTGTCGCTATGGTATATGTTCCGTTTAGATTTTCACTTTTCCTCCCTCTCAGGCGCACGAACGTTCAGGCGATGGCGACAGGCAGTGAGTCTGTGACTGTTGGTAGTCACTCTGTTGCACAGGAGGGAGAGGGACTACTAATAGTTAGGAGTATGATTGGTGCCTGAAAAACTACTACATTTCAGGCATCTGAAATATAACATATTCTTTATTTTTAAATTTAACTAAATTTATATAAAATATTAGTAACATTTATATTTCTAAATAATTTTATTAAAAAAATAGATTCAACGATCTATCTAATGATTGATATAATCATTACCATGAATATTAATATATTATATATACTTGGTCAAAGTCGATTACGTTTGAGTTTTTGGAAAGTTAGACTGACCACAGCGTTGTCGTTGCTTGAAAAAAAATTTAGCCTCCCGTACGTTCCGATGCCTCAACTCCAGATATTTCCACAGCGTGGGCATCGACGATTCACTGGGCCTGGACCCCACCCACAGAACCAGCCTCTTCTTTCTCTATCCTTTCACGCGCCAGGGACTTTTCCCCTTCGTCTCCGCCCAAAGCCTCCCCGATCGATCTCTCCATCCCCGCTAAATTAGGCTGCAGAAACCACAAAAATCGATCTCTCCATCCCCAAATCAAAGCTCTCCTCAAAATCGTGCTTCCATAGCACTTATCTTTGGAGGATCTGGTCGCCACTTCTCGTTCAAGGTTCAGGGCATCTCAGCACCGTGAGATGGTGTCAGCAGCCGTCGCCATCGATCCGGCCGCCCGCCATGCCGCAGGGGCCGGCATCAGCCTCACGGCGGCGGCGCCTCCAGCCATGCCGCGGGGCTGCCTCCAGCACGCCATGGGGTCGCGGGCAGGCACACGACCGGGCGCGTCCAGCCACGGGGCTGCCTCCAGCACGCCGCGGGGGTCGCGGGCAGGCACACGACGGGGCGCATCCAGCCACGCCGTGGCGACCGTCGTAAGGCACACCGCAAGGGCTGGCCCCCATCAATCGCGCCGGCGGCGGCCAGCCAAGTCGCGGGGATCGACGGCCCCAGCTTTGGACGCTGCTTCGCCTTGACCCGCAGTCAACCGAGCTCAGCTCCAGGTGCGTGCTAGCTCCATCAACTAATCCTTTTCTTGCTGCTGTGTAACTCTTTTTTTCTTTATTGCCATGCTATCTATAATTCTTGTGATATTGGAAATATGAGGTGCACAAGCAGAGGTGGTACATCTAATGTCGAATACAATTAGAATTTTTTTGCGATGGATGATGCTGGAAGTAAACATTACAACTAGAATTTTTTGCGATGGATGATGCTGGAAGTTTTGAATCAAATATGAAGTAAACATTACAACTAGAAATTACACACATGAGAATTTAGTTTATTACACACATGATAAGTTGGTACATCTAATGTCGAATAATGCATGATAATACAAACATTACAAGTAGAAATTACATAATATACTAAGCTTGATTTTGTCCAAATGGCTGCCATATATGCTCAACTAAGTCCTCTTTTAGCTGACGATGCATATCTCGGTTTCTAATGTCTTCTTCTACCTCAAGT